TCCTGCCTCTTTTCTTTCCACTTTTGGCGACCAGAAATAATTCCAGTAAATGTGAACCCAGAGAAAGCGGGGATTGGAGAGCGCGCGAGCCACCGAGCCCCAAGCCCGACGAGAATGTGAAACGACTTCTGCCAGGAAACCCCCCCCAAAAAACAAAAGAAGGGATTTGTCAAATGGCAGCGAAGTGGTCCCTTCGACCCCACCCCACCCCCGGAAAAGGCACCTGGACTTCTTCAGAGGAAGTCTGGAGCTGGCTGTTTGCAGGAAGGCAGAAGAGACAGCCTTTCCAAAGGCCCCCCAGAATGAGCAAGTAAGATTTGTTTTTACTCCTAGAGACATCACCCTTGTTCAAGTTTAAAAGTACACTTTGCAGCTATTTTTCAGAAATAGAAATTGATTCAGGACTGAAACTTTAAACTAGAGTTGATGCTTAATGTGATAGAGACATCTCTAAAGTATTTTGAATTAAAAAAAAAAGATGGCAGATTTTCTGCATTTACACTGTATATTATATATATATTTTTATTGTGGTTCTTACCCCCCTTCCTCCTTCTCTGAAGTGTTAATGCTTAAGCAAGGAGTTGCGCCTGCTGTGTTCACTGATCTTGAAAGCTATTATTAGATTATTGCCGAACAACCCTGTGTAAATTATTAATTTATCTCTCTAGCAACTTAATTTGTGCACATTCTAATTAATTAAACTTATTTCGTCTTTTAAAAAGCGGGGGAAATGTATGGCTAGTGAAGTAAAAAAAATGTTTATGTTTGATGAGTTTAACTGAATTTTTACAGCTTTCCTCTTAACACTGTGTTTCTTTTGGCCCATTTGTATATGCTCACTTTGAATGAAGAATTTTTTCTTTGTTTTTACTGGTAGTGTTCTGATTTGTGAGTTGACACTCAGTAATGGATGTCTTAATCGTGTAGACCTGATCCACTGTCCAGAGTATTGTTTACTTTGTTACATATTTAATGGGGATTCCCACATTGTCCCTGCTGCTGCACACGCGTGCTCACTCACCCCTTTACACACACACACACACCCACACACACACACATGCACACACATCTCTAATGGAAGAGAAGTGAAGCAGTTGGAAGCATGACTATAATGCATCATTTTCCAGCTTTAGGTGCATTTGCCACTTGGTGTTTGTTCTTCCAGATTCTAAGATCTCACCAAGGTATTTCAATCTTCTGGTTTTCAATTGCGTGGTTGACTACATTTTGACATTTATGGGATTCCTTCGGTTTTTCCTTTTGGAAGTTTGTTTGTAGAAAAACTAATTTGAACTATAAGAAAGACAGTGCACTGCTTGTAAATTCACATTGTTTGGTAGGATTCTTTTGGAACAAAAAAATGGGTACGTGATGACTGGTACCTTATCTATTGTAAATATTTCATTCAAAATGACACACATATAGATATATTCTTACAAATTTTGCTGTATTGCTGTTCCATCTGAGGATCTCTGAAGTCTTGAGTTCTGTATATGACCTGGCTTCTTGTTTTTGTTAATAGATGGTTTATTTACTATGGTAATGTATTATTTTTGGTGTTGTTTGATTGTCTTTCATTGAAGAGATGATTTTAATGTTTCATTGGCAAAGTATGCTGCTTTTTTTCATTAAAACGTGCTATTAAAATTAAACGGCTTTTAAAATGTGATGTTTTAAATCATTTACATTGGAATTATTTTGATGGGGGATTTTTAAAAAAACAGAAACACATTTTGATGGCTTTTTATGGAGTGGCTGTTATCAAAGTCTGACTTGGATTTAGTAGGGGGTGTTTCTCTAGGAAAGTATAAAAGGACAGGGTTTATAATGGCCTCCTAATAGCCAGATTTCATCTCACAGGGTGCTTTGCTTTTTTGCCCAGTTGAGGTCATGATATGTGATTCTAAATACCTCCCTTGGAGTCCTTTCCATGGATCTGCAATAATTCTCCAAAGATCATCTTTGTGAGCAGAGTTGTTGCATGGGTAAAAGGAAGAAAGGAACTCAGTTCAGTTTTTAGCAGCACTGGGAGACTGGGTGTGGCAAGAGTCAAAGTCTAGTTGGGAGAGTAGGACACCCTGGTTGAGGCCTAGGGGCTGGCCCACCATAGTCCTCAGTTTAGCCACCACTCATGGGAATCAGTGCCCCCAAACCGGAGCAGGAAGCAAAGCCCTCCCCCTCTCTCTCCTCATACCTTTAAGGAAACTCATATTCTGCAATAGGCAGAGTGAGGTTGAAGAAGAAATCCTAGGTGGTTAGAAGGCACAAATTATTGCTCCTTTCCTATGACTCACACAGATACCCAGAGTTGCTGGAAGTCCATCTAATGGTGGTCTGGCACAAAGAAATTTTGCACATTTGGTACACAGACTTTTCTTTTTTGTGATCCTAGTTTAAAGACACCTCCTTACCCATTGTAATAATTTTAAGACTTCTTACAACAATTGAGCAACACATTAGGGTTTCAAGTTGCTCCCTCTGGCCCCCAGGAAAGCTCTGGTCTAGATATTTGTATTATTAATGATGCTAATCTATAGATCCAACAAAAGAGGAACCAGGTCATCCTCCAGGGGTAATTCTGCTAAGCTGAGCTGTGACCTTCTAATATAGAACTACCTGGGGATGTTTCTCATTTTGAAGATGAGGTTAGAAAATATCCTATGAGTCAACGAAAATTGTTACAGTGACTCAAGTTGAAGTTAAATGTTGTTGGAAAACTGGTTGTGATTTTCAGATGTAACAAAAAGTTGTAAAAGTTGGATGGCTAATGGGTAGAAGAATTTCTCTTCCTATAACTGAAATGAGAAGACACTTGAAGAAACCAAATCCATGTGTCCATTTGGAAATAACGGGGTGCATTGCATAGATGCCTAAGAAAACCAGAAGTTGTAGGGATTTAAAAGAAGGAATTGTGAATTAAGATATAGTGATATTGATGGTTTGTTTTTATTCCTGTATTTTGGAGGTTGAATCTCCCTTCTTCTATTTCATCCCTTTATTCTTAGGTTCCGTTTTCCTGAAAGTCTTTTCAAACAGCCAGCCTCCAATCTCATCAAGCTGGATACTGATTTCAGCACCACGGATAGTAACCACAGGACTCTGCCCTACTCCAACGTGTTTGACCCTGCAGTTCTAGCCACCTGGAGAACTTTCTGCTTGCTTACTGTTTCCAGAGTGGGAAAATGAATTAAATGGGTTGAATGTGTAGCAAATCAGGCTTACTGATCTAGGATTAAAATTATCTTCAATAAATAGCACATTCTCTTTCCCATATGTGGCTGTTATCTAAGGGTCTAGGATATGTGCATTAAGAGAGAGGGGAGTCATTTAGGGAAGAGACAAGTGTGCTAGTTTTCCTTCTACAAATGTGACATTTTCAAATAGAGAAATCTTGTGAAAGTAGTGTAAATCGGGAAATATACTATTTATATTGGATAAAAATAAAATAGGTGTTTTCTTTAGTGCATTTTGAAATACATTATGCATGTTTGTCCAAGATTTTGTAAGAAAAGTAACATAACAACAACTACCCATTTACTTAAACAGTTGAGAGTGAAGGACTGTGTTTACTCCCTCATTCACCAAGTGTTTTTCTTTGTCTCCCAGGTCCTGGACTTCTAAAACTATCACATTTTAAGTTCATCTTCTCTATGTTATTACAAGGGTAAAAAGCAACTTCTCTTGCCAACAAGATGGAAATTTTATCCATTAATTAAGCGAGCTTAAATGTGTTTGTTTTATGGGGAAAGCAGAATTTTAGAAAAATATATTCTGAAAGTTTTTATTAATTAGAGTTGCAAAGATGTACCAAACCAAACCAAAGAGATTTGGAGAGAAGAGGATTGATCTTAAATTAAAAGTAGGAATAGAATGAATCATGTATATATTGGTATTGGCTTTCAAAATACTCAAATGGATAAATAGCAAATTGAGGCTGAAGGTCTTTATCATATCCATCAAATCCATGAGTATTCATGACTCTTTTTCTAATTTTATTTCCTCACGTCCACAATTACTCTTTATTGGAAAGAGATATTTTATATACTGACTTAGCAGCGGACCTAGTCATCCTCAATTTGACATTTCAGAACTATGTAGTTTACTTTTTAAACTTCTCTAAAGGCGAGTAATCCAATCTTTTTGTTCAAAGTGACTATCTAAATCTAAACTAGATGGAGTAAAAGGCTAATAGCAAAGATCCATGTAAGTACTCTCTCTACACCAATCGGATTATAATATAACCTGGAAAAATGCAGTTTCCTTTGGATATTTGACATGAAATCAGTTGGTCAGTTCTTTTACCAGATTAAGTTTCATTGACAGATAGCTTGGGAAAAATGGAAATATGCAAAAGCAAATGAAATAAGATTTAAATTTAATGTAATACTCTTCTGTTTTTCTATAAAAATGTATTTAAAATAAGTAACAAAATAAAACCAAGTCTTTTCACTATCAAGGACAGGTTCTGGGACCTCTCTTCGCCAAGAGAATTAGAATTTTGGGGGTACAAATGCTTTATTTCCAACTTGGAATGAACCAATTTCTTTTGATGTATCTGTT